TAGTTTGATCCGTAACAATGATTAGTGTTAATCACACACTGTTTGTAGCCACGGGGTCCTAATGGTAAACCCTACAACATACAAAGATAATCACAGAATTGCGTATGTTTCAGTTTAGTTTCATTAGCTAAAATACTGCCGTCAAATTAAATTTAATTAAATAATGCTGCCAGTATTTGATGACCTGCCTTAAATGCCACGTGTGTATAAAGTAAACCTAATACATAAATTATGTTAAAATTGATTTCGGTTAATTAATTACAGCTAAATTCCCAAGCGATATCACATGTACATTCGATATCAACTGACATAACAATGTCACATGATTAAATATACACTGGCAGAGACAAATTAACTCAATGAAACAGATTAGCAAATCAATGTCAAAGTTTAATCTAAATCGACCACAATTTGTTTCTGTTATCAGGGGATCTGTCAATCAAAAGAGGTCGGCGGTTACCTTGATTGAAATATATTAACTTTTAGAACCTAAAATTAAATGTTTAAAGCTATTATTCATGTGATAAATCCGTCCAATATTTTATTTCCATATACAAGATTTTTTTTTAAAACCTTTTGTTATTTTAAAATCTTCATTTGCAGCAGGTGTGACTATTAATGTATTTAATGTCGTGTTCAGATCTCCCGACATTTTACACTGTCAGATGAGGCAGTCACACTCTCACGGGTTTGTAATCTTCTATTTAAACCTATAGCGGCATTTAGCCTCGATGAGAGATGAGATGCCTCGAAGACAATCTGTGCCCCGCGAGAAACTGTTAGAGAAAGGACTGCCACATGTTCAAGCTATTAAGAACTCCATTAGTTTTGTAAATAAACCACCACATCAAATGGAGAAGGAAATTGCATAATTATCCATTTTAATCCACGTCGCTTGTCAACTTCACTCACTTGTTTGTATAGCAGATAACACTCTTAATGGTAATTTTCAAAATGGCTTATTCCAACATGAACGGATCTCTCTACAAAGAGATAATTACGGAGGATGGTAAGTCCTGCTTCATGGTAGATGTATACAGTTTTTATTTCCTTATCTCCGAAGTGTTGGGTTAAGTAACAGCGATCAGCCTTCATTAGATGTGTGTATGTAATTACGAGCTTGGCGAGTTGTAAGTGAAGGGTCGTGTACGTAAAGGTTCATGGGAGTAGCGAAGCTTAATGCGCGTGTTTTACACGTTCTGGCCTCGACCTGTCGGGTGTGAAAACAGGCATGTTGAAAGCACTTTACAAGGAAACAGCACGGACATTTCAAACTAAATGTACTGAAGTATTCCCGTGCCGCTATTGAAGTTTTACTCCACCACTCCATAGATTTATATTATAGGTATATGGTAATTTCTCCGTTTCAGAATATCTATTAGGTACGTCTACCATACTGTACAATAGACTAATATATGGTTACAAATGCCCACGCTAAAACCAACCTGATCTAATAAAGACACAATTGTCCATGAAAGCGAAAATGTTTCAGTTTTTGTTTTAAATATTTAATTTTTTGATAATTCAAAAAAAAAACTTTTGTGTGTAAAAAGCATTTCCATTTGTTGTAAGTTATTTATATACAACTTTACCATGGAAACAAATGGTTGTGTTGTATTACCCATCAGTACGGACTGAGTAAAGTTGCATAGGTGTAAAAATTCTGTAATTAACGATGAACTACCACTTTGATAGCGTTGGAATCTCTATCTAGATTTGCACGTGATAGCCGACTGTGAGCGGATTACCACGATTCGAGATACTTCCCGCGAATCTAGAGCCACAGAAATTGCTTACAAAATTAGTAAGTTATTTGTTACTAAAACTACAGAGATGTACCATGTACTAACCTCTGCTGGTACTTTATAAGCTACCTCGATAAAGAACACTGGAATCAAGGAAATCCACTGACCTAAACTATGATCTGAATTAGGCATTAAAATGAAGGGGTATAACTCTGTAAATGATGATCACGTGACCGTATTTGGCAGCACCAGACACCAAAGAGTTCTAGCAACATAAAAAAAATGGAATTGTAGTCAACAAGATAACACACACTATACATTCGTGTTCAAAACGCGATTTTAGCACGTCATTCCATGAAGTACAATGACTGCGTGTGATGTACACCCATACACACATGATGTTCGGACATTGCACGATTGTAAACTTTATGGGACACCAAAAATTAGCTCACTTCAAACGTTATATTTGCACCAGTTTATCGTTGCGGCGTGTGCTTGTTTACTACCTCAGCCATCGTTACATTTCCGATTCCAGGTATAATTATTCGTTATCATGTTACGCACGTACTGGCCTTTCACATTATCAAATATTTCTAGATACGACGGCGTGATGATTTAGACAATATACCGTCTGTCCATATTGGATTCCTATATACTTCTATTCCGTGATTGATCCATTTTCCTCATTAAGTATTGGTCTTTGATTAAGTGTAATTAATTGTCGGGTTTCAGGAGGGAGACTCCTGGTGGGGTAGAGCATGCAAGTCCTGTGTAAGTATGATATGATAATTAAGCCCCCCGTAAATGCTATGTAAAGCTCTGTGAAGATGAAATGACTTGTTCAATTATTAACCACTAGTAACCAAATCAATAGCGTTGTTATTATTACTCCGAGCATTACGTATTTTCCGAAGTACATGTATATGTATATAATCGTCATTAATTCGACCCCAGTGTTAGTACCGGCGTGTATAAGAATCGGTTTTATTACTGAGAACACGAATTTCTGTGCAGTCATACTGCCAGCTCGTCTATTCGTCCATCACAAGATGTCCATTACGTGGGCCCATTCCTGGGTCACAAGTGATACCAACAGATCGTATGCATTATTACAATTCTTGCGTTCCATTAATTTTTTGGTTTCTAATTTCGCTATCCGTAATCAATGTAAATGGAATCATACAACGGTCCATTACAAATATCAAAGAGTTCAGAAAAAGGGAAGTAACTGCAATTGGTTAAACCACTTACTGCTAAATGAATCGATAAATAACATAAGATTGTAGTAATAATTGAGCTTGATGAAAAGCTATTACGTCATTTCCGCCATTTTGACAAGTGTCTTCACAACACAATCGATACTCTAGCATACCGCCAATTTTCTTCAAAATGTCTTTTTAATCTAAGAGGACCAGGTAACCCCTGAACTGATGAGGAGTCCGGACGTTCTGTTGATGAGTCTGGACGCTTTTCAATAGCTTCTAGATCTAATAACCCATTAAATTTCTACCTCCCTTTACACATGTCCCGGGTCGACAAGAGAGCGGAGACGTGGACTTTAACCCCGGCAAGATAAACACCAATTAATAGCACTTTGAGCTTTTATTGTGGGCCATATGGCTCGCTCTCTACAACAGCATTTGGTTCTTGTCAGTGCATCGTTCGACATGTTTACACTATTTCCTTAGCGGCAAGCATGACTTAATTTAATTGACGTATGTACAAACGAGGGGAATAGTCCAGTTTATGGTCTGTAATCAAGGTTACCAAGACCTTTTTTAACCCTTAGTCACAACAGATCGAGTCAGTAGTGGTCTATGAGCTGGATCTGATCAAATTTCCGATGGTTTGTCTTTGAATTCGTCCCCGACTTGAAATTCTTCAATTAACGCTACGTTTTTACACGCAAAAGAACAAAACTGTCTACATAAAAACAGATTTGATGATTTCCCTAGCACATCAACCGGTCACAGAATAACCCATCGCTTCAATGGTTTTTATCACACTTAATATCATCAATAGAACAAAACATGGCTTCCGCCTTATCAACACCCGTACTTCCGGTACCAAAGGTCCAACAGCATGCATGTTCTTTCGATTTTTTGTGCGACTTCTGACCAAGAATTAGAAGGAAAAAAACCGAGGCAGCATTTCAAAATACGTGGACAGTTTATTGGTGATCAGTAATAATATTTCAAATCATAATCCACAGTGTGACGTCATTAATCATAATCCAAAGAGCAACATATATCTACATATCCTCGTGTGACGTCATCAGCCGTTAATCCATAACATTGTAAACTTACTTCACAAGTTTTGAACAAAAATGTTTCTCCTTCGTGTAACGAACGTTATTCCAACAGAAAATATTAAGTCAATTTGTCAAGAACTATTTCATACCACCAGAACAACGCAGCCACTGATACAAACACTGCCAAAACAGTGGGGGGAAACACTCAGCGAGATTAACAGTACGAAAAAATATCAAAATTCGAATGGCTACATTGATCGACATTTCATTGTAAAAACTAAGATATGGAATATCACATGGGATATATCTGAATTGATCACTAATCAATTCATAACATTAGCCCTCACACACCCATCACCAGATACTATGTAGCATTGCTCTTCGTGGTAACAGATTGTTTTAACAAAAGACTAGATTATTCAGATTTAAACTGATTAAACTGAGGCACTTCTGCCTTAGTTTTACAACTGAACTTTTTTCTATTTCCAATTATCGAATTAAGTCTGCATTACGTGACATGCGCCAATGCGGAGTGAATATTTGGCGTCAGCCTTCAATTAATGAGTAAATTGCCCTACATTGTCATTCTGCGAATCTTTTCATTATATTTTTTATCAAAATTGCATCTTTAGTTTTATACACAAACTTGAAAAGAGGCCATGTTCTGTGATGATGATGATCAATAAGCAATAAATAAAATTTTAACAAAATAATTCTGCATTGCTTTGTACAGCTAAACAAAGCCATCGGTTGGATAAATATACAATGAATTATCAAACCGGAAGTACATAAAATGGAAGTCGGCGGGAGACCGACGTTACAGAATCGCGTAACCAACCGCAGTAAACATGAAAAGATAGGAATGACTATCAATTATTCAATATCAATAAAGAAAAAAATATGCACAAAGTATTTGGTATATAATGAGATATGAAATGCAATCTATGAGACTATATGGACTGCGTCGATCTTATGAGGAGTTCTAGCGTGCTACTACCCTGTACCTTGTGGCTCCCCCTAGCGGATCCCATCACGTGACCTTTCATAACTTTTGGATAGTCCTGTTCACACAATAGTCCTCCATTGAAAATACTGAACCGGTCGCCAGTGGAAAGCTGGTTGTGACACGTGACACACTTGAAGCACTTGACATGGTATACATTTCCTTGTGCTTTCATTACAAACTCACTGGCCGGAATACTCTGACCGCACGCCGAACATGACCCACTTGAACCAAATAACCTGTAAAATATTAACAAAATTGGCATCAGTAAATATTTGGTAACTAATCGGAAACCATTTTTATATTAAAAAACATAAAATGTATAGATATTAGTAAACAAATATATGTTAATGGTAATCAGTATTGTAAATAAAGCGGTAACCAACGACGAACGGGCACAGAGCAAACACACACAAGAGAAATCAGCAGCGATTTCAGATTTTTTTCCCCCAGAAACTGTAAAACCGAGTCGACTTTTCTTTATGCTGCACTGTACAACAACATGGAATCTATTGTTTGTGTTTAAAAACCTTGAACATTATCTTTTTCAAGAGTTTACATATCTTGGAGAGGAAAGTAAGCTGACAGCTGAAAGTCGATAAACATGAAAGCTGATGATTGTTGAAGTGTCATTTCGGATAAGCAAATAACAATTTTTTTTCTTGATTCTTGACCAACTATCCCTGCCCTTCTACCCAAAACATAATTTCTCCACAATGGCGTTACTCAGTGTTAAAATTCATAAATTCTCGACTCCTACTCGCTCGAGTGAGTTGATAACGTTGGACAAAGTGATTTGTTCCTCAGCTATCACAACTAATGGGGTAGTTCTTTTATTGTCTTAGCTTATATATATTACATAGATTCAAGGGAGTTGGTCTATAAAAAGGCTCCGGTGGTAAATATTACATTACACTAATTGAATCGCTAATAACAAAGATCCTTGATTTCTATGGATATTTCAAACGATTTATCCCGCAGCGCAAGTACCCTCCACCTTGGGAATCGAAAACAAAGTGATGTATGAATATGCATTAGCGGTTTAATGCTTTATTTCTATTTCTGTTCTTCTCAAAGCCTGACTGGAAATGTTGCAGTTATGGTTTTAAAACATCATCCTTTTAAAGAAAATCAATATTTAATAAGATTTTATAAAATATTGATAAACCATTTGATATATTTTACCGGTTTGAAAAGGATTTTAAACTGACATCCGTTAATGACTAAAAACCTTTAACACATATTCCGACTTTTGAAAGTAGCGTTAATTTTGTTTACAACGATTTTAGAACCGGTCTAATGATGGGGTTTTATTGCGTCTGGTTACCTTATCCAATAGGCTTTATTTAGCATTTGGATGTTCCAAGCGATCTAGAATCCAACTTAATACTTAAACGTATCCTTTATGATATTCTTATTCGAATTTTTAAAAGCACAATAACATAATGTTTGGATAGATATTTAAGTGATTTGAGTTCTTCTACAACAGAAAATGGTATCTTGTACACCAACACATTTTACCATTCAAATATGCCCGTACATTTCTAAATTCAATAAAGTTAAATGTATCTGACAATCAGAATATGTCTGTGCTTGAATACAGAAGTCATGCAACTTACTTAAAAAGATTAGTAGTACAAACACATGATACCATTTCACAGTATACAAGTGTCGGTGAGTAACTGTTTAAAAGAGAAAACGAAACTGGATCGGGTTGCCAATTCTGAGAAAGTGATCGTCTTTGGTTCGTTGTAAGTGTGACTGTTTTTTTTTCATCTACAACAGCTTAATTGATAGCTATGTTCTTACCAAGATAATGTTGTCATGATTAATCACGAATAAACATATTTCGTATTTTTTTCCAAATACAAATACAAAACTAGATACCTAAAGAAACCTAATGGAATGGATGGGAAAAAATTCTGATAATTTTTAAGTTATCAATATTCTTAATATTATCAAATTCAAGATGGCTGCCTGAAAGTCATATCGTTGTTCCAATCAGTCTCAAACTGAGTTGGTCCAACCAGAGTTTCACAGAAGATTCAGACAGTATTCCTTGAGAAAGTTTACAAATGTCTACATCTAAAATTATGGTTGTTATGTAGGACTTGCTCACGCCCAATCTTTTAAAATCAAACACGCAGAGAGCAATTTACAAGACAGTGACACGAATGAAGGTCAATAGAAGTCGTTTCTCTCAACACTGTATGACACGTATCTTGACGGTTTGCAATCCCAGACAAGGAAACAACTTAACAGACAGTTACCGAGAATCTGGACAGAGATATGATGTATACAATAGAAACACTTTTAAGCAAGGTTTTATATTTTGGTCTAATTCCTGTCTAATGTCAGAGCAGAAAACAAGAGCTTTAACTGTCAAAAGCAATTTAGAAATATAACATATATGCGTAAAAACATTCATGAAATTATAGAAAATTTTATCACGGGGCGGACTAATGGAATCTTGTGGTGAGGAGGGCTGTGCGATATAAACGTCCACTGATGAAGCTAGCACAGGGTTTCGGACGCAAAATGACACGGGTCTGGCTTATATCAGTCCCTATATGGGGTACAGTGTATCCGGTGCCGCCAGCTCTGTCCCGTACATTTAAATAAATAATACTGAGATGTAAAGTAATATCCATAGAATAGGATATTTTGAAGGCAACGCTCGGTTGACTGGACTAACGTTATTGCAATGGTTCTATTTACTAATGCAATCGGGCAATTTAGGATGTTGGGTAATATTTTTGTAAATTACATATAGATAACACAAATTCTTGGTAAGCCACGTAGCTCTGCGTCATTGATTGTTTGTTACCTGGGTTTTGCGCCCTGTCAGCAGTCAGAGGTTTTTTTCATAGCGGAATTTTCTTGCAAGAGTTGCTGACTACCTCAGAGAACAACATACAGGAGGCCGTGCCGTCCACATCAGCATGGGTAACGTGTTAGTAAGTTAATTAGCAATTATTCTTCTACGAAATAGTGCCATATCGTGGGATGTACAGTCTACCTTAGTGTTTACGGAATTCTCTACCATAACGGACACCTAGTATAGCTAACACATTACCTTCGTTTCGTCAAATTTAGTGTCCAGACATATAACTGCCTACCTATAAAAGTCCAATCCGTGTATTGGCGCCGTGAAATGACTCCGATTCTAACTGGATATTTTTACATCCTCCCGAATATCTTACTCGTTTACGAAATTCAATTTGATCTGAAATATTTTATCATTAAACTAATGTCCTGCATCAGGCCACATATCATTGATTGATTCAGATGTCGGTAAAACTCCGTCTCTTCTCCATAACTTGATTGTAACTCGATTTGTAGTGTTGTTTTTTTTGGTTAGAATTTAATCTGATGTACAGATAGAGTAGATGTTTTAGTTGTATCTATACTAGTTTCGAAAAAGGTACCACAATTTTGCATCTAAATACTAAAATCTCTCTTCTTGCAACATCTAACCCTTCTTGGTCCGGAGATCCGCTTTTCCTTTGAAAGTTAACGTTTATTCAAGTGATCATTAAAAAAAAAACATTTATCCCATTTCCTGATTTTTGACTGCCTCGTCGCCCTTGAGAGTTGTATTTAGTTAAATTTGCTGTTCTGCCTTGGACCCCTCAGTCATACGATAGTAGACGATTCATCCTCTATTTGAAATTTGAAATAATCATCGTTAAATGTTCTATCTACAGATCCTTAAAAATTGTTCAGGAAGGAGAAGGGGTCTACACCCAGCGCTCCAGTATTAAAGGTGAAGATCATGGTTTCAAATCCGTTTCCAATGACTCCAATCTACAGAGCTGTGGTATAGTATACTTGTAGAGCAACGGCGAGATAATGAATAGTGGAATCTCATCTAAAACAGAAGTACAGACGTCTACTACGGAAATATATGTAAGCTGACGGGATTAGGCATCCATTAGGATCGGAAATGAACTGATTTTTCTCTTACTTGTCGCCCCACACCACACCACATAGCGGCGATAAAAGGCATCGACGCCATTAATGCATACGTCTTCTTTATCGTCAGAATGTTTGCTTCCTAATATCTAGGTCAGAATCATGCATGGAGGGGTTGCTGACCATTAGTTTAAAAAAATAATCTCTAAACATCCTAAATAACCCCTTCGTAATTACACGTTCCGCCTTGTCTCAGAATGAGATAAGTAAATGACAACGACGTGTGTCGTTAATCTTTTGGGATGATGTACAGGGTCGTTCAATTTTACGGATTGCTGGTTTTGATAATAGCGAAGACTTGAGTCGATGGCCTACCAAGCGGGCTAAATCATTTAAATTATTGTTAACGTGTTGAAAAGGTAGGCGTATCCTTAAATGATTTGATAAGAATAATTATGAGGAGCTGACAATGGCTGCCGTCTTTGTGGGTCTTGCTGGGCTGTGTAAGATTACACCATATCAACAGAGTTTCAACAGAAATTGAACAAGATGAAAAGTGATATTACAGGAAGATAAATGAACACTTTCGGGAGGAAATGTTTACATATATCGAGTAGAAATAACCAATCTTCTCTCTATATATTAGTACAGTAAAGGTGAGGGTAGTCACCCCGAAATTATACACCTGCTCCAGCCATCCCACTATACTAAGTAGTTCCGTGAATATTGCATATTGGATATCACTCTAAATTTACGACACCGTGCACAAATAAAGTTCTGCATACTGTTTGGCGTCCCAATTCACTATTTATGTAGTTCAAAAGGTAGCCGTGATAATAAAAGAAAATCTTGTGTTAATTCTTATGGTCTGTAAAACTGTCATTTTAGCCTAACGCCGACATATATACACCTTAAATACAAACGTACCAAAATGGAAATATGCGCTAAGAAAGCACAGCCTCAATTGATATCGATGATTCAGTGACTGGTGTTCCCGTCAAACCATTGACTTCTACAATCCATTTCACTCAGCTCAGGCTCCCCAGGAGAGAAATTATCTCCGATCCCAATAAAACAACTTTGTTCTACTCAACCCAAAGGTATTTTAGTTAATTAAATCTAGCTAATGGGAGACAACAAAAACAGAAAGCCGTGATAAATCTGCTGGTGCTTTAAATAGCCACTGTTTAATAATCCTATATTAATAATAGAAATATGCTTTTTTAAAAAAGGTAGATCTCTACGTCTTAATAAAACGAGGCGAGTCGTGACGTCATAACACAATAGTATAAGTGAGATATGCCGCGATTTACATCGCTATATA